ACGTGCGAATGCCCTATTAGATTACAACAACGACAACCATATGTATTTTGTATGGAAGGTGTTATGTCAAATCTCAATTCGCTTCAAAGTTTACATGTATTTTGTTTTTGCTTTTGATGGGTGTTTTTGCTTTTGATGGGTGTGCTGTCTAATCAGTAAAAGCAAAAACAAAATACATGTAAGACGAAAAAATCAGCTGATTTTACAACACCACCTTGTATAAATTCGCCTTGCCTGTGATTTTTAAAAATTTCCACGATTCGAACATGGTTTAGGGCCGTTTGCACCATGTCTAGTTAACGCTAACTGGAGGTACATCCTTCAGTTAAGCACGTTAACTGCTTTATCGATCACATGTTATATGATGGGTGTCGATAACGTCGATAAAGATGTTTAACTGGGAGTTAGAATTAACTAGACATGGTGCAAACGGCCCTTAATGAGAAAAAGTGGCAACATTGCTTTTTCGCGTATACAGTTCCTAGCTGCGTTTCAGTTGCGCAAATTCAACATCGATGTGATACTGATAGAAATCCGGCTCAATTAGTGATCAACTCGTGTGTTTTTTTCCTACACCCCTATTGCGAATGTCGACTGGCAGTAGATAAACGACTATTAAGCGATTATCGATTAGCGATGCTATTGCGAGTGTCGCTTAGTCGCTCAATTAGCGACTGTGAATACTTTTTAATCGCTCATTCTTCTATTGCTGTTTTTTAGTCGTTGGAGTTTGCGTTTATAAAATTTACATAAGAAAGTGGTACTATAATGGATAAAAAGTAAGTCAATTGAACTGGAAGTTGTAAAAAATTGTGAAATATACATATGCATGTATGTGTCTGAATTACAGATCAAAAATTATAACCAACAAAAGGCAACTTGCGCGGTTGTTCGTACTGATGCAGGAGAGTGAAGACATATGCAAAGGAATTTCCGGAAAGAGTAGGGTAGGAAGCTCCGCTTCTATTGGAAAAGATACATATACAATATTTCTTGTGCATATAACTCCGGCTACGCCATCCACAGTGTTTTTGCGCAGAACCAACATCAAAAGTTTATACAAAAAAACTGCATAATTTATTAATTGACTAGTGCTCGGAAATTTGAAATCTTTATTTTAAATTAAAGTTTAATTCTTTCAATACACTTGTTATGTTGTTATGTTAAAATTTTTAAACTCGGGTCACGCGTTTGGACACAAAAACCCAACATCATTGTACAAAAAACTTAACCGTACCGTATTTCTTAAACTTCCATAAAGTTTATTAATGAGGAAAACAGCTTTTCCTGCAAATCATGTAAAGCCTAAAAACTGTGAAGCATCGGGAACGCAACTTCTATTCATAAAACTCACACGTGTACATACACCTTCAAAGTCCAAGGGATCCGACGAATCTCGCAATTCCCTCCTTGCTTTAGCTAACTCTACTAATCTGTTAGCTTCCGCATCATCTTCCTCATCACTAAACCATATTTCAACTGTGTCCATTTTTTAAATTGTATAATAAAAGCAATTATTTTAAAAATGATGTAAATAAAACACTCAAGAAACAAATGTAAACAAACAAACAGCTGTTTACAATTCTGTCAACCATTCACAATAGTACAAATTTTTATCGATCAAGTTACACAATAGCAAAATAAAAGATGATCGACTCGATCGACAAATTTCTATTCTACTGCCAGTCGACACTCGCAATAGGGGCCCTATTTAATTGAGGAAATGTCAATTGACAACACCGACAAATGAATATATACACAAACAAATTTTCGGTTATGGTTAAAACAATTAGACTTTTTGTATTGAACTTTTTGTTTAAAATTTCTTTATCCCTTTTCAGTAGGGGTTTTTGCACATTATCTTCTCTGTGCGAATTGATCGTGATAGATACGGATCTGAATAAGCGACAGGAACACGGCCGTTGGTAAAATGCATACGATTTCGAACTCGCGTAAATGTATATTTGCTAAATGCGATAGCATGAACGCTCTTCGAAAAAATATGTTCGAAAGTGCTAAATGTTGCATTTTAAATGCAGCTAAAACGCTGCATAACCGTGGTTGAGCACATTTGGCATTAAAATCTACTGAGGTCTAGAAATAAAAGAGACTGATGCTTTGTATTTTGACGTTTTTGAATTCACCCTATGTTCGACATTTTTTTGTATGTGGAAGACACTGTCAGCAAAAAATAAATAATTGCAAAAAATCAACGAAATTTTCTGATAACTTTAGACTTGCACTTTACTAATTGGCTCAAAAGCTACATTTTCAAAATTTTTCTAAAAGATCTGATTAGAAATTGTGATCAGATGAAAGAGTCTCCGAGCCAATAATTTTGTACGGCACGGTACTTATAAGTAATCTAGGTTTCACGAAAGAAAAAAATTAAAAACAAGGTAACATAAAAATATCAGTCATTTGTTTCGTTGCTGTGAATTTGTTTCAAAACTTCTGTCTTTTCCTTAATATAATTGTAAAACTCTGTACACGTCATTTTAACGTATTTAGGTTAGGGACGTTCCGATACCATGAAAGTATCGATACCTACTCAACTGGGTTTACCCAAATCGCTATTTCGATACTACTAATATGAGTAAGCCGAATGTATCGATACCTACTTATATCGATAATTTTTCATCCTTTTATATGCAACAAACTGAAATTAATTTTCAGGCGTTATCTGTGATGTACCTTATGCGACACCTGAGGGGAAGAGCGACCTATCTCGGCAGCCAATTCGAAAACGCCCTGTCTCAGAAAACTTTTCAGAAGCGCCCTTATTCGGAATTTTACGAAAAACATACATTTTTATAAAAAAATTGCCATAATTAGGTTTTTGTACTTTTTCTCAAAATATGTATACATTATATACATAAATATATATCGAATGAAAGGTCCTTCAATCACTTTTCCAACTGTGTCCATAGTTTTAAAATCGGTTCAGTAGTTTTCGAAATATAAGCTTTTAAAAATGTTGAAAATTTCACGTTAAGGCCCCTTAGCACCACCCCTGATAATTTGAAAAAAAAAATCACGTTAAGCCCCCTTAGTGCCACCCCTGATAATTTGCACAAAAAAAAAAATATGCCGTTAAAATCGGCTCATCGGCCCCAATTCTAATTATTGTTTAACGTTTACGTAATGTTTAACGTAAAGTAAAAATGATGAATTTATTAACGGCTTTCGCTCGATTTTTGGGATGAGAAAACGACGAACTAACGACGAACAAACGATTTATCACAGTAAACAAATGAAAATAATTTAATTCTTACATTTGGGCTGCTAAAGGCAGGAACCGTAAAATGTAAAAAAATTTATTATAAATGTTTGGCTTAGGAACAAACGTTAAAAATTGACGAACAATGAAGAACAAACGACGAACTATCGATTGCAATAATACTTAACCCAAAATAATCTGTTGTGGGTGCTAACTTCAGGAATAACGTAAAGTGAAAATTGAAAAATTAATTATAAGTTGTTGGCTATCGAACAAACGTTAAAACGTTAAACATTAAAGAACAATCGACGAACTATCGATTGCAATACAAAAGTCTTAATATTTTCACAAATAGGGTGCTAACGTCGGTTGGGTATGTGAACCAGAGATCATTTGCGGTGTATCGCATTTTCGAATACACCGCAACGACATTTATTTACTGCACCACTCAAACTCAATAATACTTAGTAACAAAATCAACCGCCACCGCAATCACCGCAAGCTCAAATAATGTCGTGTTTGAGTGTTTTGTGCTCGATCAAAGCGTCGTTACTGCATTTTGTGGCGCCGCATTTTCATGTCGGCTTCGGCTATGCAGTGGTATGAGCGGTCGTTTAAACAACGCAAACATCGCATTACTTGCGGATATGCTTGTTTGAATGCGGTGCACCACATTATACGAGTGTAAGTGAAATAAAAATGAATTGAATTAAAATAAAATAAATATTACATATTTTGTGTATTTAAATTTGACTAATTGTTCATATTTATTAATTTATTGTAACATGCATACATACAAACTCTGTAGTCAACTGTAGCTATAAAATGCTCTTATAATGCGGTGCATCGCATTCAGCCAAGCATATCCGGAAATAATGCAATGTTTGCGATGTTTAAACGACCGCTCATACCACCGCATAGCCGAAGTCGACATGAAAATGCGGTACCACAATATGCAGTAACGACGCCTTGGTCATACAAGTCATCGCAAACACGAACGCGACAAAAAATGCGATGCACACAAATATCGCATTGCTTGCGGTGGCGGTTATACTTACACCGCATTGTTTGCGAGTATACTTGATGTCTCGAAAAAGGCACCGCATGCTGATCACTGATGTGAACCCTGAGAATAAGGGCAGGTTTTTCAATGTCTGATTATCACTACTTGCCGGTTAAACATCATTATCGACGTTTTCGACATCATGCATATAACATGTGATCGATAAAGCAGTCCTTGTACTTAACCAGAGCTTCTACCTCCAATTAGGGCCGTTTGCACCATGTCTAGTTAACGCTAACTGGAGGTACATCCTTCAGTTAAGCACGTTAACTGCTTTATCGATCACATGTTATATGATGGGTGTCGATAACGTCGATAAAGATGTTTAACTGGGAGTTCGAATTAACTAGACATGGTGCAAACGGCCCTTAAGCAGTGTTTGCATTATTCAACTTTGCGTTCAACAATTGCGTTCAACTCAACGCAGGGTTGCACGAAAAAAAAGTTGAATGGCTAAATGTTGGCTGGCGACCAACTTTGTTGAAAGGCCATTCAACCAAAAGTTGAATGCAAAGTTGAACAATGCAAACACCTTTTTATGGCGAATATTTTGATATTTTTTCATATTTTGTTATTTTTAGCCATTCAATTTTTTTTCGTGCAACCCTGCGCTGAGTTGAACGCAAATGTTGAACGCAAAGTTGAACAATGCAAACACACTTTTAGAGTTCATCAGTCATTGAACAACCGGCCCTAATTGTCTGACATTCTAGTGTGAAACAGCCCAATGGCATGATTTTATCGTTATACAACCCTGCCTATATCGAAAACTATATCGATTAGTCTAGTGACATCATCATATTTCAAATCAAATTTACAACTGAAAACTCGTAAATACATATATGTGCTAAATTTCATCGCTTTATATAATTTCGTGGTAGATGCAAGTGTTTTGTAGACTCGATTCGACATAAACTTGTCAACACAATCTGTCTAACATAGTTTCAGGCTAAAGAAGAATCAAAGCTGGATAGCTTGACTATCAAGCCCTTGTCATTCCCTCAAATCCAAAAAATAATTATTATAATAAGTGTAGTATGTTCATAATTAAAATGTGTATGAATTCGATGTTAAAAACTACTTTTATCATTTCAGTGCTAACGGGAAAAGATCGCATAAAATGGCTGACTTCGAGGAGGAGAATTTGGTGCTGCAGAGGCTCACAGCCGAAAATGTGAAAGAGCTCGCCTCCATATGGACGGAAATGTTTGACGAAGAAATGTGCTTCTATAACTTCAAGAAACTCAAAGAGCATGTTAAGACATTTTTTACAGAATTAAAAGAAGAATCAATTCAAAGGAAAGAGCTAATACAGAATGAGGTGGAGGAACTACGAAATGAAGCGGATACGTTGTGTCGTTTATTGAAAACAAAAGTACAATTGCCAAGAATGGATGACAGAAATGTGCCTTTGTTGATTCTACAGTCGAATATGGATAAAAGCTTAACTGAATTACGTGAACAATTGCGACGGCGGCGTGAAGAAATTTGCGAACTACTACTTGAACAGGAGGGTTTGTGTGAGGAATTAGGTGAAGCACCGCGGCCTCTTTTAGCAGATCCATTGCCTTCAGAAGAAGAAATAATGGAATTTCGCAGTCATTTAGATCAACTGAAGGTGGAACGTATGGAACGTTTGAATGAGATGTCACTGTTGCGTAGGGAAATAAAAAATTATTTAAACACTTTAGAGGCACAAGTTAACACAGATGCAGATGATCGACTTCTAAATCATAGACAAATTAAATTGAATGATGAAACTTTCACAGCGCTCAGACGAATGGCGGAGTTGTACGGCTCTCGTGTGCATGCATTGTCGGAGCGTATCGTTGGTATGCGCAAGAAATTAGAATCTCTTTGGGGCCGTTTAAAAACATCACCGAATACACGAAATAAATTTAAAAGATACACAGAATTCAATCAACGCACATACAGTGTACTCAAGGAAGAATTACACCGTTGTGAATCATTACAAAGCCAGAATATCAAAGAATGCCTTCAACAAATACGTGCGGAGATTGTAGATTTATGGAATAAAACATTAAAATCTGAAACAGAACGAAATCGCTTTTCCAACTTTAACAGCAATTGTTACACAGAAGATCTATTGGTATTGCATGAAATCGAGCTAGAAGATCTAAAACGGTTCTATGAAAATAATCGTCAAATATTTGAATTGTTTGATAATCGAAAATTATTATGGGACCGAATGGAAGCCTTGGAGGCCAAGGCCTGCGATCCTGGACGCTACAACAATAGAGGTGGACAATTGTTGAAAGAGGAGAGAGAACGAAAAACTATTGCAACCAAGCTACCGAAAATTGAGCAACAAATTAAAGAATTAGTATTGGCATATGAAGAACAGGAGCATCAAGAATTTCGTGTACATGGCGAAAATATTCTGGAGTTGATGGGGAAAGAGTGGGAGAAAAAACGGCAAGAAAAGGAAAAAATTAGTAGTGCACGTAAAAATGCCCAAACCCCTCATTCTGTAACTACTCGCACACCCATTTCAGCAAAGAACGGTTCGTTGATTTCTATGCGTAAAACTCCGTCTCATACCAACTTGTCAACTGTTCCATCATCTGCATCTGCGAGTTCTGCGAAAAAACGTAAACTAAACCAAAATGAAAGGGATGCACCATTGGCTAAAAGAAGTTTGATATTCCCAGTTAATAGTCCCAACATTTTCCCGAAACCAATGATGAAATCATGTAATACCGCTTCGTCTGCCGTTGGATCGAAGTTACCGACCAAGTCTCCCTTCAAATCTCCACTAAAGAAAACTCGCGTCATTGCAACCACGATTCGTCGTAGATCTGGACGTCAAAGTTCAGGTAGCAAAAAGCGCACTTCTTTGGGCAAGAGTGCTAAAATGAAAACCTTTGTTGCACCGAAAGTTCTCAATAATGATAGGTCGAAATGTAATACAGATGAGGGTACGGATGACGCCTATGAATCTTTTCAAAAAAGCATTGATCCAGATTCACGTTCTTCAATACTACACTCGGCGATTGCGCATACAACTTCGACATCGAATGCGTCGACTCGCTCTAAGCGACATCACAACGAAAATCGAGTTATACATTTGCCTAATCCCCGCTCCGGAATACGCTATCAATATACTCCGCCCAAAATGTCACCTGCCAGCAACAGCCGAAAGCTAACCACAAAGAATCTACCTATAATGATTTAAGCTATCATAACAGATTTTTTACAGTTACAGTATAGTTTTTGTTTTGTCCGAATACTTACTTTTAGTTCATGACTTCAATATACATACATACATATGTTTTCGCTGACAATATTGTATTTCGCATTTTTATGGAAGACTTATATTCAACTAGATCGCCCTCACCCGCTTCGCTGGGTGTATGAAATTTTTACATGCTCCATTGAGTAAAATTTACTTCAAGAAAACTCAATTCAAAAACAGGATGTTTAATATTTGTTTAACTACATTCCATGATAAAAACATAGCAAGGTAGAACCGTTCTCTCAAGTTGTCGGCCATGATTTTTTTTGAAGTTTGCCAACATTTTAAAATCATATAGAAGTGAAAATAAAAAATTGAAATTGTTCGAAATTGTTGTTGCTTGAGATTGAAAATGAAAATGTGTGTGAGTTTGTGAGTAAATTTAAAAATTAAATTGTTTGGAAACGTCAAGAAATTTAAAAGTGACTCTCAGCGGTTCTACCTTACTATATTTTTATCATGCTACATTCCAAATATGTTCAAACTAAAACTTTCTTCAACTTTTCACTTGCCATACTTTTTCAATTAACTTAACCCCAGAACTCAATTTGAGATTTTAAACTAATGGAAACCCCTTAGATGTAGGTTTGAAATGAATAATAATAATAATAATTAATCGATTGGCGCTTACACATATGTTAGTGTTTGACCGAGCTTCTCCTCCGACTTGTGGCGTGCGCCTTGATGTTGTCACCTACAGTTTTACGCCGACTCCGAACGGCGATTGGAATTTTTTTATGAGAAGCTGTTCTTCATGGCAGAAATACACTCGGAGTTTGCCATTGCCTGCCGAGGGACGACCGCTGTTAAGAAAAAACCTTTTTCTATATTTTTTGGGATGTTGCTTTGACCAGGGCTTGAACCCAGGTGCTGATGTGCGAAAGCGCGCACTGCTTACCACAACACCACAGCGGCCCTTTCAAAATGATTTCGATTAATTCCCATATTGTAATAATTTATTTAAATTATTGAATAATTTCTCTCTTTCGTCTGAAACTCATATTGTGATCCATATTCAAAATCATTTCGATTAATACCAATCTATACTAATATATTTGTTGAAAGCCGTTTTTTTGTGTTCGCAAAGCTCGAGAACGGCCGAACCGATTTTTTTGAAATTTCGGACACCTGCTTCAAACGTCCCAAGGATTATTATAGGCTGAAATTTTTTCGATATTTGAAGGGCGCGTGGCACCGCCCATACAAACCTAATTTTTCATACCGAATATCTCTGGAAATGTTCACGGTTGAGTACAGGAACTTGGTGTGGAGATATATGCAATCGATCTTATACTCATGGAGAAAAATGGGCTATTTGAAAAGAGGGCGTGGCGCCGTACAAACGTATAAATTCACCGGCCAGTTGGCACTTGAGTTAAGTTATTACTAAAAATATTATGTATGATCCACATTGGCTAATATTAAAAATATGTATTGGTAACGGTAAAGGCAATGCTATTTACTGTAATAAATTCAAGTAAAAACAAATTGAATTAAATTGCTTCGGGAAACTTACTTTTAAGGTATCTCGTCTGTAATAAGTATCATGATAAAAAAATAGGAAGCTAGAACCGCTGAGAGGAATTTTTCGAATTCTTGACGTTTGCAAACAATTTAATTTTAAAATATTACACACAAACTCACACACACATTCTGATTTTCAATCTCAACCAACAAAAACTTTGAACAATTCCTTTTCTTTACTCTCAATTTTATATGATTTTTAAATGTTGGCAAACTTCAAAAAAAACATGGCCGACGAATTGAGAGAACGGTTTTACCTTACTATGTTTTTATCATGGTAAACATGATTCAATAATAGAAAGGTTTTGTAATAAAACAGTCTTCTCGCTCCCACACATAAAATCGGCTCCTTTACTTGTGCAGAATGTTGCTTACTCTATAGTTTCTAGTGATATTAGTAGTAAAACCAAAAATTCTTCATACTAAATATTCGTTGGCGTCACCTTCGTTTGCGTAATTTTCTAGAACAAGTGTAGAATAGCGACCGTTTAGCTATAAAATAACCAAAAATGCCGATTGATAGAACTTTTTACGCTGATTTCAACGATAGCAAATTTATTTGGCGCAGGTAAAAAAAAGAAGATATAAGAGGTTTATTTGTATTTTTTAATATCACTAAATTGTTGAAACCCAAAAGTAGATCATGATAAAATATGTAATATCGAATTAAAGATAATAACTTGTACTTTCTAAATAATATAAAATTCTTTACCATTACTTATGCAGTTTTTTCAAAAAAGGTTATTTCATGAAAAAATAATATTTGTTCGTTTTTTAGTGGTTTTGGTTTAAAAATACAAAAAGCTATAAAATATGTACATCAGCTGAAGAACAAATTAATTACCTTTATGGTGACGCATTAGTTTTTTAATCTGTCAAAAAGTTCATAAGATATTAATATTTAAAATATCTAAAAACTGAACTTTAACCTTATAGAACCTCTTCATTTTTTACTTGCGCCAAATCATTTTGGCATGGTTGAAATGAGCATAAAAAGTTCTATTGATCTGCATTTTTCGTTTTTGCATAGCTGAACGGTCGGTATTCTAGATTTGTTCCCGGATCGATATCGATAGAATTAGAGATTATATTGAACTCATTAGCAGCTCGGCAGAGGGGCGCATTCCGAGCGTAATTCGTTTTACAATTAGTACAATAAAACGTA